TATACATGATTCGGTAATTGTTTTATTACTTTAAATTAAAAAATGTACATTTTAAGACTGATGTTTTTACAAGGTTATTTGTATGCAAACAACTTTCAAATATTTTACAAGGCTATTTCAGTTATTTCAATTTATTTTATCTTCAATTAAATATATATTCAGAAATTTTAACTCAATTTTTTTGATAATATTTTTATTTACCAGATAATATTTTTTTTTATTAAAATCACTTTCCAACTATATGTCTAATAGTTGTATTTCTTTTGATAATTTTTTTTTTCCTCCTCTACTAAACGTCACTTAACATCGGTCAGCTATCATCAAATGCAAACCTATATATATGTACAGGTTATCTTTCCGAAAAAGAAAAGGGTTAATAATTGGGATAATTGTCCTGAGAAGTTTGAAATAAATCAAAAAAATCTTAGCATTAGCTTTTTTTAATATCATAAACTATTAAAATAAATGTAATTTATTAATTTCTTGCCGTTGAATCCCGAACCACACCGCCTGCAATTCTTCTATAATTGCGGGTGATCCGGGTCGTCATTATTCATAATACCGCATTACTAGCATAGGTGGGGATGATGGCAACATCAAAATAGGACATGCTTGGCCAGGTCAAGTAACTGTTCCTCTGACACCCTTACTCTGCAGAATAAAACAGCTAAAAAGTGAGCCAAATCATGAAACCCTATCCAAAGTGCATAATAAGATACATCTCAGTCCCATATCTCAACGTTCTAACTTAAAAGTAAAAATAAATAAGCAATAAGTAAGTAATTAACTATGAAAATAATCTTTTAAAAATTAATTATATTTAAATATGTATTAATATAAATATAGTATTAAAAAAAATTTCAGGCTAACATAATAATATACATTCAATAATAAAAAAAATATCTTATTTCTTAAAGATTTCTGTTGGAGTCGTGAACTCTTACATGTCTAGGCCACATAAAAAACTGCACCTATAAAGTTATCACTGTGTTTGTACTTTCCTCATTCATCTCATCCTACCTCCTCTAGTAATGACACTGTAGTTGGAGTACAATAAAGTTAAAATAAATAGTATAATATTTTGCTGGAATATATAATCTACTAATGTCAGGTCAATAGACTATGATCTTGAGTTACGGACGCCTAGAAACGAGAGGTAACAAAGCAATATACGGTGAATGCAAATGGCGATAAAAATGTGATGGGGCCATGGCGGGTTCACTCGAACATTTGTCTATCGTTTGACACGTCATTATGAAGTGAATTACTAGAGTGACAAGAGCATGTCGCATTTCTACGGAAAGCCGTTTTTCCCGTGAAAAGTAATATAATATGAGGGGAAAGAGGGTTAGTTAATAAATGGAGGAAACATATAATCATATTAATTAACCATTTATCAACAAATCAGTAGTGATGACAAATGAGAGAAAAAAATAAAAAAATAAAAAATAATATAGAATTATATTAATTAACACACGAAAGTATCACTCCATAATATCAGCCATTTCGCTGGCGATTTTGTCTTTTTTCATAATATAAAATTACAAATAACTCAGTAGGTAGTCTTAAGATGCCGTTTGGTACACGGAATTTTTCTGGATTTCTGAGAAACTGAATTTTTTTAAATTTTAAATTTTAAATTTTCAGATATTATCGTAAACTAAAAGTAAAAATTATATTTTTAAATATCGAGATTCTCGGACAAATAAAAATTTCTCCTGTACTAAACACCCAAACAAATGTACGAAACAAACCCTTGTTTTGCATTTGGGTATTGTAATATAATAATGCTACACGTACCAATGTGGCAATGTGTTTGCCTCTTGTTTTTAAAACTTTCTTAGGGCCGTTTGGTACACGGATTTTTTTGGATTCCCGGAAAATTGAAATTTTTAAAATTTTAAATTTTCAGATATTATCGTAAACTGAATGTAAAAATCATATTTTTGAAAATCGAGATTCTCGGACAAATAAAATTTCTCTTGTACCAAACACTCCCTTAGGAGGCGTTTGCTACGCGTCATTTTGTAGGATTTTCGAAAAACTGAATTTTTTTAAATTTTTAATTTTTGAATATTATTGTAAACTGAATATAAAAATTATATTTTTGAAAATTGAGATTACCGGATAAATTTTTTTTCTCCTCTACCAAACACCTTCTTAAGTTTTTTTAAACTTTTATCAATTATGATTTTTTTACATTAAATTTTAAAATAAAGATAGACTCTATTTAACATGACATGGACAATTTATTAATTTTAAGAGAACTCATAATTAAGTTATTACTTTTTGACTAATAATAAATTATAAATATCGCAAATTATGTAAGGGCACGGTTATTTTTACGTAATAAAAAGTTATACATTTTTTTAATCATTGATTTATATATATTCAATAATACATATAATATAAACTTTAGAGCATATATATATATATATATAATAAACGATTAAAATTAAGAGTATATTTCATATTGATATAAAATAATGATGATTCATTATATAATCATCTCGAGAAAAAATGGCTTATCATCTAAAAAAATTGTTTTATATAAATAAATCCTTATTAACTTCTTTTCATATTTGTAATTAGTTATTAGATACTTCGTAAAAAAAAGAATTTAAAATTACTTTAATATATAAAAAAATGTGTGAGAGTCATGTGAATTTATGTGAATAGAAAAGAAAAATATATATATAAATATCACATATTTTTATATATGTATTTTAATAAATATTAAATAAAGTTATTTAAACTAATTTTTAAAAACTTTAAACCTAAAAAAGAAGAGCTTTATTAATCTTATGTCGTAGGAGAGTAATTCTTTCTTACCATAGAACCAATTATAGGTGGAGTTCACTCATTTATAAAAAATAAAAAAATAAAAATTAAATTACACAAAAATCAATAAATATATAGGAATATTGCATAAGAATAATATTTTTCAAAATAAAAAAAGAATATAGCAAACGGCGCATAAACTTTAAATATAGGTTTTTCTTAGGAGAATAAGTTAGATTTATTAGTATTATTCCATTATTATATTAATAACACTGGTTATAGGCTTTTTTACCCTTATAACCCTTTATTATTAATTAATTACCGATTTGACCTTGATTATAAACTATTTCAAAAATTTAACCTCCTCAAAAAACATAACACCAATCTGCCCCTGTTTGACCGTTGACCACCAAGCCTACCCGGGTACACCCCTCTCTACCCGGGTATTTTTTGAAAATTTTTGTCTACCCGGGTAGGGAGGAGTGTACCCGGGTATTGTTCTTCGCACCTGAGAAATTGCTTGAATTATTTACCCGGGTAGAGAGGGGTGTACCCGGGTAAATTTTGAGAATACATATATTACTTTGTATTCCATCTATGTGGTGCAGAACTATACATGTTGGTTTCTCACTTTGAAGCTTGTTGGACTCGCTGTGTTCCGAGATTGTCCAGGAAGCTGTTCAAACAATTATATGTATATCAGTAGAATGGAGCATGTAAATATAAACGAGTCAATTGTTAACACCCCTACTCACAGTGTCCCCTCGAAGAAATTTGGTCATTAACCTATCTATTAGTAACCTATCTATTTTACTATAATTAGTCATCTGTGAGATTGGCATTTTGGATATAACGCTCTATAAGAAACACCAAAGATGTGCTCTTTACTTGTTCCCTCTCTCCCTTCAAGAACCTAACCATGCCCGAACACTCGTACCACCTCGCCAACCCATCACCGATTTCGTGGATCAAGGGTTACGCCACAAGCTTTCCTCTTCCACCTGTAGATCAGAGGTGTTCATAAACCGATCCAAACCGATTCAAACCGCAAAAACCGAACCGAAAAACCAAAAACCGAAATAACCGAAAACCGAAAAATCGAAAACCGAAAAAAACCGGAAATATTTACTGGATTGGATCGGTTTTTGGTTTGGATGTTGAAAACCGATCCAATCCAAACTTATTTTCTACCAATTTTTTTTTGTTAATGTAGTATTCATGCCAATGATCTATGTATGGGTAAGAAGAATTCAGTTTTATGTTTTAAGTTTACTATGTTATGGAATTTCTGGATTACTTTCGTTAATATAGTATACATGGTTAAGTTTTTTGTAGAAGCTGTGTTTTGGCCAGTGTTCATAGTGGCCACTTTTGCATCCATTATAATTTATAAGTAGTAAAACAGTGATTTGTGTAAAAGAATTCATTACTTTTTTTATTAGAACATCGATCAATAATTTTTTTTATTAGTGATTTTGGAAGACTTATTACTACGGTATTGTCAAAATTTTCTGCTACTACCAATACAAAAAGATCCATGACAAATAATACTACTCATTTTTCTAAAAATAATTCTTATAAGTTCTGTTTTTTTGGTTTTTCAAAAAATCGAAAACCGATCCAATCCAAACCGAAAAAAATTGGATCGGATTTGAAAAAAAATTCAAACCGATCGGATGATGTAATGACCAAACCGAAGGAATTGGATCGGATGGTTTTTTGCTTCAAAACCGATCCAATCCAGACCACGAACACCCTTACTGTAGATCTGATGTTTAAGAAATTGCAAAAAGAAATTAACCCGGAAACTGAATGCAATAAAGCATCTGTGTTGTACTTTACCACTCAACAGGTTATGATTATTTACCCGGGTACACCCCTATCTACCCGGGTACTTAATTCAAAAAAATTTCAGATTCAAGAAATATACCCGGGTAGGGAGGAGTGTACCCGAGTAGGTAAAAAATTTCAAAATATACCCGGGTAGGTAGGGGTGTACCCGGGTAGGCTTCATGGTCAACGGTCAAACAGGGGCAGATTAGTGTTATGTTTTCTGAAGAGGTTAAATTTTTGAAATAATTAATAAATAGGGTCAATTTGGTAATTAATTATTAAAAAAAGGCTATAGTGGTCAAAAAGCCCTGGTTATACCTTTGTAACCTTTTGCAGAAGACCAAGAGATATTGCTTCGCCATAAAAGGGTCTACTTTTTTTCCACACTCAACGCACACCATCTCCCTCTGTGTCTCTCTCTCTCTCTTCATTTCATTGGTGGCTTTGGTCTCAGAGCTAACAACATCTCACTCAGAACAGCCAAACAGCAACAAAACCAAACATTCCTAACATCAAAGCCTCCCCCCAATAAGGAAAGTAAAATACTCAAAGTGCAATTCAGCATCAAATTCCTTGCTTTGGTTAAAATCTCAACATCCCATTACCAACTGCATCACCCTCCTGATCAATTTTGGCTCAAAACAATTCCTAGCTTTGTGTCTGCTTCAAGGATCTGAGAGGACAAGTGTATAATTCCTCAGTGACTATTGGAATTTAATTTCAAAGCTAGATTTAACTAAATGCCTGCATATTAGTTTCTGCTATCACATGTCCCTCTCATACTTGTTGTTGTTGTTGCCCTTTGCTTTTGCTTTACATAAAACACTCCATAAATAGTCAACGTCTCAGGCTTCCTTTGCTTTGTTTGCTTTTGCCTTGTCTTTTTTTAGGTGGGTTTCTTTGATTGTATGTTGGTTCATTCTGTGTCTTATAACTCACACAAGAAAGAGGCTAAAGATGTTTACTTTTTCTGTTTTTGTTTATTTTTTTTCTTTCCAAATAAGGATATTAAAGTGAAGGGAGAAAGTAATTAGATTTGAATGGCAAGGGAGAAGATTCAGATTAAGAAGATCGACAACGTAACGGCCAGGCAAGTAACGTTCTCGAAGCGACGCAGAGGGCTCTTCAAAAAAGCTGAGGAACTCTCAGTTCTGTGTGATGCTGATGTTGCTCTCATAATCTTCTCTTCTACTGGGAAGCTCTTCGAGTACTCCAGTTTAAGGTCTTTCTTTACTATATCCTCTCTCTCTCTCTCTCTCTCTTTCTTTTCTGAATAATTATGACTGAAAAGGGTTGATGGGGTTTCAATGCTACACTGTTTGTATTTTGGAAAATTATTGTCTTTTTATTTTAGTAAGATCTATTTACATAAATATATTACTAATGTGAAGTGAAGTTCAGTTTTTTCATTTTATCTGGTTAGCAAAAAAAAAGAAAAAAGGGAAAGAAGAACAAGAAGAAAATAACACTGTTTGGATGCTGCGCGATTACCATTCTGACTTCTGAGATAGTTCATATAGTTTGCACAGTTATATAATTGCTTCTAAAACATTTTTGTGTGTTTGCTTAAAACACGGTTACCAACTTAGCATGTTGGGATTCCGTGCTTATTTACTGTTTATATTTCCTCCTGTGCTTCTTTGTTCTATTGGTTTTATGTCTTGATTTGGTCTCTCCGACGTTGCGCGAGTTTTCAGATAGATATAACCTATGGTTTAGGGGTATATTGAATACATATAGCTATTACACTTTATAACCTTTTGACCAAATAAAGGATTGTATAAATCGGATACTTATTTCTTACTGATTCTATTGCATATTAATCCTATTATGTTGTTGCTTCTTTGATACATTTGTTCGATACAATATAGATGCTTTGATTTGGATGTACTTTTAGTGGTGTTTAGATAGTCAAAGAAAAATGAGTTTTCCTATATCACAATTTATTATGTAAAAGGCACCAAATCAAACGTGACAATTTTGAGAGAAGAGAGAAAAAGGAGTCATAAGATCAATAACATAAATTATGATTTTTGTTTGGACCTGCCCTATCTCCGATCAAATAACTTTTGGGGAATGAACTTGCCGTTACCATTATCAAACAACCAGAATCCTTTAAGCCGTGGTGAATTGAAAGTTTTCAGGTTGTAGCCTCGAAGTGCGAAGCTATAAATGCCTTGGAAACCTGATGATGAAGTCCGGGTTTATGATATTTATTGTCGTGAGTGTATGACTGTTTAGCTGTTCGATAAGAAACATATCATTTCACCTCTTTTAACCCATAAATTATCTTCATTCATGAGTTAATGTGTTCTTGCTCCCAAAAGGTAATGGATTTGTGTACTCACACATTTTGACATTAAAAACACCACCCGTAAAATAAGAAACTTAATTTAAGGATAGGGGTGAGGGACATCCTTGTAAGTAGCTACCTTTTGGTCACATAGCCATACCTTGATTTCCTTATCTTAGATGTTAGTCTTGTAATACACAAGTTTGACAGTCGGGGTGTATAAATTTCCAGTGCGGAAACTTATTCAATGTCACTTAGTTTGTGAGAATGCAGAATCTATGTCATATTGTTTAAAAAACGAGATTAGTCTATTTCTCAAGTGGATTACTGATTGTGTTTGTTAGCTTCTTATCCGATAGTAGTTCTCTTGTAACTATTGTTGTTAGTTAAGTGATAGTCATTTGCCTTTGTGTCTTGCTTGATGTGCCATGGATCTGGACTTAATATATCCTTGAACTTTGAGTAAGTTGTTCTTGCATAAATGTGAGCTTTGTGATGTAGCTTATCGTTTTCATCAATCTTCTCTTAAAAAGGTTGAGAAAAATGGGAGATAAAAAAAAAAAGCTACTCCCATTAAATCCCGGAATAGAAAGGGTACGGGTGAGGCAATCCTTGCACTCTTGTCCGTTGTATATTTACAAAGAGTTGGATTGGTTTGTGTATGAGATTGTGCTGATTGATAAGATTTTTAAATGCAATACAAACCTGGAAATCAGTCAATTCATTATTTCATTTTTTATCTTTTCATTTGCTCTCATACTCAATACCAAGCATTTTATAAATGATTGACTGTATTGTTTAGTGATTAGTGTTACAGCTTGAGGGAAGTGGGAAGAATAGTTAATAACTTTTTTAAAGATTCACTAGATCTAAAATGAATTTGTCCTATAGTAACATAACGATATTTAATTTGTGATTGCAAAGTATGTCTCATGGAATACAGTGGTCGATCCAGGATTTCTTTTTTTACCTGTTTATAATTAAGTTGGGTAAGCTATGGAAAATATTAAAAGCTGTATAGGTTATTAAGTCTAAAGTAATTGTATTCTAACAATTGGTTCAAGCTTCTTTAACCGCTTCCAATATTATATATATCCGAATAAACCTTTTCGTGTTAACATCAATCTTGTATGTTTATATTTATGTTTTTTTTTTCCCCTTCCTTGAGGGCGCTCCATAATGTGACTTTGATATTGTCTTGTGAAGCATGAAGGAAATACTTGAAAGGCATCATTTGCACTCAAAGAACCTGTCAAAGCTGGAACAACCATCACTGGAATTGCAGGTTGGTAGTACATGCATTTAATATTGAATTGATTCCATAAGGTGTGAGAATAATGTCATGGGAAATATTTATAAATTTTGTGGTTCTTACGTCTTCCATTAACTGCCTTTCTCATTTTTCATCTTTTGACAATCTTCTACTCTTGATATCCCCTTAATTTCGGTTGTGAAATTTCTGGCCGCGTTTCTGTTGACAAATATTTCCCCTACCTGTTCAGTTTACTTATAATTTTAATGTGAAACTTTCTTAGTGGTTTTATCTATAACATATGAAATGTACTTAAAAAGTTTTTTTGTTTGCTTCTTTTTCTAATACTAAAAGCTTGGAACTTAAAAAAAAAAAAAAGAACTCCCGAGTTTGGATGATTAACGATTGAGGAAAAAGAAACGTAAGTATTAAATTCTAATATAATTCTGATGATGTTTTTAGTAACTTAATTTAATAGAAATAACCAACGACATTTGGTTCAAGTGTTAAGGAGCTTGGTCCATTTAATTAGAAGTTTTGAGTTCAAATCCTGAGAATAGAGAATACAGAAGATGGTCCGGTGCAATATTGTTAAAATCGAGATCTTAAGTAAAATCGAAAGGGGATAAAAAAATCGTAAAACGTAAAATCATAATGTAAAAAAATCATAAAAACGTAGAAGCGTTTGGAATATTAGTAAAATCGTTTTGATGAAAAAAAATTGTAGTGATAAATTGAGATTTTATCAACAATGGTCCTGTGAGAGCCACCTCCTATAATGGTTCGATAATATATACTCAAACCTGACTAATTGTGTAATCGATGAACTGTTGGATATATTCAAATTTTTAATAGAAATAAGTTAAAAAAACCGAAATAACAGTAGAGGGTTTTTAGCTTATTAGAGTCTAAGAAGGAAATAAGCAAATAAAATTTGACCCAGAATTCAAGAGTTCGACTTAGTGCAACTTGAGCTACGGCTCATGAGCATAAAAATGAAGTTACAAATCCACCTTATTGCCTCAAATTTTGAGTGGAATAAATAGAGAATAGTTTAGTGGCAATTAATACTTAAATGTCTACTGCAGCTAGTTGAAAACAGCAACTGCTCCAGATTGAGCAAGGAAGTTTCTGAGAAGAGCCATCAACTAAGGTACCAGTCTCACAATTTTCTAACTGATTAGTTCATCGTGTTTGTTGAAATGTGAAGATAGACATCACAATGTAATAAATACAGGCAGCTTAGAGGAGAGGATCTTCAAGGTTTAAATGTAGAAGAATTACAACAACTGGAGAGGTCCCTCGAAGCTGGGTTGGGGCGTGTAATAGAAAAGAAGGTCTTATTTTTATATTCTTCAGTGCCCACCAGCATAAATTGCCTCATGATTTTACATAATTAAATCTTTCTACTTTTCAGGGAGAGAAGATTATGAATGAGATCACCGATCTCCAAAGAAAGGTTAGAAACTGTATATTCCTTGATCATTATTTGAGGATCCACACATTGATGATATGATACATATAGTTCTTGCATTGGTTACTGTATACCTGTATGACTTGAATCTCTCATCTCATAATTTAATTAAGAAATTGTTGTTCTTTTTCATGAATTCTAGGTTCACATATCAAAATGTCTAGATTGTGTCAATGAGTTAGCTCATTTGGAGTGTTTTGTTTTATTTCTGTTTTTATTTTCAGTTGATATGTTTTTAAGTATAATTATAAATTTATGGCCTTATGTTTGACTGTTTCTTGTTATTATGATTTTATGTCACAATTTTGAAATTAAACAAATTAATAATAAGATGACATTTTATAATTATGATTAAAAATAAAACTAGAAAACAAATTAAATGGACTGAGTTTTCCATTAGTAATTACGAGTAATTCATGTAATCATTAGAATACCATTTCTAATTGTCAGTGAGATATATTTTGTTTAATTAGTTTCATTTGTGATTTAACAACTAATTGAACCTGCAGGGGATGCAATTGATGGAAGAGAACGAGCGACTAAAGCGTCATGTATGAAGTTCTTTTCTTTTTCTTTCCTGTTTGTATTTTTATGTGTGCATTTTTCTCATGCAGACTTATTTTTGCTTGTCCCCGAATCTAACATCTGCAATTGCTAATTAATAAAAAACTTGTATCTAAATATATGTGTGGCACCAAAGGTTGCATGCGTAACTAATGGCAACAGACATGGTGGTGTCGAGTCTGAGAACTTAGTTACCGAGGAAGGTCAGTCTTCAGAGTCTGTCACTAATGTTTGCAACTCCACTGGACCTCCACAGGACTATGATAGCTCAGACACCTCGCTCAAGTTGGGGTGAGTTCACTTTAGCACAAAATAACTCCTTGAATTTATTCCACATTCTGTTATATATGTATTTAGAGAAGTATGGAATCCCCTGTAATTTAAGCTTTTGGGCTGAAATAGTTTTTTTATATAATATCAGAGCAAATATGATTAACTTGCTATGAGTTCCATATTTTATTAATAAAAATAAATAATCAAATGTTATGAAGATTCTTAGAATAGGTAGGCGAAGAAATATAGAGCCGTGCGAGGAGATTTGTTAAAGAAATATAATTTTTTTATTTTAGTTTCATCCAACAATTTAAGTATCAAATGGTTCTTTATAATGTATGTGTTCAATAATGCTAGCAGTGCAGTATATTTTATTGTGTGTTATCAAGCATGTGAATTTTTTTTCTTTCAATTTTATTTTAATAAAAGGGTTGAAGACTTTCTTTTGTATCTGTACTATTGGTTTACGTCTTTATGCTTTCATGTATTATTTCCAGGCTACCATACAACGGCTGAAGGGAAGTGTGTGTGGAGTTAAACCTACAAGCAAAGATAAACAAAGATTATGGTCTAAATTACGTAAACGATTGTGGTTTCCATCTTTCACTGTAATGATTGTGGTTTCCATCTTTCACTGTGGAGTGGTGGTAGAATATATTAGTAATGACTTGTGATCTAGATGATGCTAAGAAATTAATTAAAAAAAGTAATTCCTATTAATACTAGGTTTAGTGGTAGAATATAATAGTAGTAATGACTTGTGGTCTAAATGATGTTGTTAAGAAATTAATTAAAAAAAGTAATTCCTATTAATGCTTTGATTAGCATTTAAACTGTTTAATATGGTATCTTTGCTTCCTTTTTGTCGTTTCCCCCCCCCCCCTCCATTTATTGGGTTTTCGTTGAGTAGAGTTGTTGTTGTTATAACTCGTCAGTAAAATTTATTTCGTGTTATAAGTGAGAAAACTTGTGCTCACCAAAACTAATGACTCACCAAGATGGTGGGCGGAGGGGAAACTTTTTTATTGTGTTAAATATGAGCACAAGTTAGAGCATGGTAATTTCGTTTTATTTCTGAAAAAGTAATTAATTTTTGTTTTAACTCGAATTTGTAAGGAATTGTTCCATTTTAATTAGTTTAGAGTTCGAGTTTTTGAAATGTAGTTATGTTAAATATGGGTTGAGAGATTTTTCCGGGTTCAGCTAGTCAGATTAGTCAAATAATTATTGAATTAATTGATAATATAATTTTTTTTTAATGTTTCATTTATTCGATACTATATATTAAGTTTGAATTTTTTTTGGTGAAATGAATTTTTATTTTTTTGCTTTAATAGGTTTTGGCCCTGTTTTAATTATATGTATGGTAAATTATTTAAGAGTTTCGAAGTACAATTTAGATGAGTTACTGACTATTTTCGTGTGCCCAGTGGAAAACGAAAAACAATTTTTCTTTGTTTTTATTTTTTTTCGTTGTATCCAAGCTGGTTTAATAAGGGGGTCAAGTTATTTTTTAATTGAACTATTGATTTTTTTTTTTAATTTCTCTTTAACTGTATAATATTAATCAATGTTGAAATTTATGTATATAGGAAATGAATCTCTTTCAATTTGAAGTAGCTAGTAATTTCACTATTTAAACAATATTTTTCTGTATTAAAATTATCAAATATATCTAATTATTGATCCTATGTCCTTTTACGTATATAGGAGTAAGCCCCCGCAGTGTTTTTATAAAGATGTAGGCAATCTTAATCTGATTTACTTTTTTGCGGCCCTAATTTTTATTCTTTGTGCTATAATTGGCCCTTGATATTTTTATTTATTTTTCCTTCTACAATTCATCACTGTACTAATCTACAAAGGTTTTCCTTTATTGAACAGTAAATATGTTATATTATATGAGTATACCTAAAATAAAATGGAATTAAAAAATTTTATTGTTTAAACTTTTGAGAAAAATAAGTATAATTAAACGACGACATATTCATACCACAAATATGGCGGCGGCTTCTTTCTTTTGCTCCTTTTCAAAAATTCTCATAATAGTTTTCTTACAATTACTTAATCCCTTAAGATTATTTTTTTATCATTTATCTCTTACGATATTTTTTATCTAAGGTTAAAAATTAAATTAGATTGTCCATTTTACCCTTATAAAAAGAATAATTGTAGAAATAAGAATTTTATATTGCACTGTTATTTTTTATCCAACTCGTTGTTTTTAAAATGAAATATGCAAGTTAGCAATTAATTTTAATATTCCAATAAGATATTAGCAATAAAGATGCAGCCATCAGGGTTTTACGTTATTTGAAAGGGTCACCAGCAAAGGGACTTTTCTTCCCTTCTACTAACAGCCTGCACCTTTCCAGCTTTGCTGATGCTAACTGGGCCACTTGCCCTGATACCAGGAAATCAACTACTGGTTTTTGTGTCTTCCTTGGTTCTGCCTTAGTCTCATGGAAATCAAAGAAGCAAAGCACTGTTAGCAGATCTTCAGCCGAATCAGAATATCGAGCCTTGGCTGCCCTGACTTGTGAAATCCAATGGCTCACTTTTCTTTTAACTGATCTTGGTGTCCCTCTTCTACATCCTTCACCAGTTTACTGTGACAATAATGCTGCCATCCACTTAGCTCGAAATCCTTCTTTCCATGAACGCAGTAAGCATATAGAGCTTGACTGCCACATTACCCGCGAAAAGTTGAATTCAGGTCTCATTCGCTTGTTTCCAGTTTCATCTGCCCAGCAGCTTGCAGACTTCTTCACTAAGGCTCTTCATCCTAGTACATTTCAAAGTTTCATTTCCAAGTTGGGTCTGATAGATATATACCTTCCAACTTGAGGGGGGTGATAGATATCAATCTTAACTACTTTCTGTTATAATCTTAACTACTTTCTGTTATAGTCAGTTAGTTTACCTTATGTCATGGTTAGTTCACTGTTATAGTTAGTTTACAGTTTTGTCCACATGGTTGGACTTGCACCGATTCATTTCATCTAGGACCAATACTATTAATAGGTCCTCCTCTGTAAATTGTTGATACTTTTTGATTATTCAATTCATTGATGACTTTCCAGTTTATTACATTCTGTAAGAAATGCATAACTTAGAAGTTAGAACTATTATTTTTCTTCTTACAAATTTATATATTTTTAATAAAACTAACTTTGCTTGAGTTTGATAAATGTATTAGTATCTCAAATTTAATAATTAAAACTAAAAATTATTTAAGTAATCAATTTATATGAAAATATATTTTTATTTCATGTTCAAAAATTAAAATGAAAAAAAGTGAGCCAGAGATAGGTAACAAAGAAAATAAAAAATATTAAAAGAATATTAATATATTAAAGAGTGGACTGGTTCATTGATGTATAGTTCTCACTATAATGACCCTAACTGGTAAATCTTAGTTAGAGATTTAATTTAAGGATTTAAATGCCATAATTAGATTCAGTGAGCGATTTCGAGTATTTTGACTGTAATCATGACTATGTTATGAACAGTGCGTTCTGCCGGAGAATTTACAGTTTTGTGAATTAACCGGTAGAGCTTAAAATGAGCAAAATAATTTTAGGAACATAATTTGAAAATTCTGATGACAAATATGAGTTCAGAACGAAAAATTGTATAGTCTGGCACTTTCCGTGAAAATCTCGTGAATAGTGTTTCTACCGGGTATTTTGTACTGCTGTTTAAGCAACCGGTAGAGTCCAGAAATAAATAATTGATGAAATAAGAATAAGAAAGTCCAATATATGCCAAGCAAGTCAATATAGGCCCAAGAAAATGATAAGTTTATAAGTTTTAAGTGTCTTAAGTAAATGAAGTACAATTAGTGATTCACAGTGCATTTCGTCAAAAATGGTGCAAAAACCATACTGTGAATTATGAATATTGTTCCTTAGGAAATAAAAAAATTAATGTAAATGACTTTAGAAAAATAAAAAATATATTTGTAACTTTGAGTTAGTTCCGGGTTAGTTTAAGTGAAAATACGCGAAAGAAAAATACCCGGGTAAAAGGCCACATGTGCTCACCTTTTTAAGTCACTTAAGCCTCATTTCCAAATAAAATTCTCTCTCCTCTCCTCACTCCAAAACCGAGCTGCACCAGGAAAAAGGGGGGGTTAGGGTTTGTTTTTGATTTTGTTGATTCTCTTTGAATCTTCCACCAAATCTAATGACCCACCACATGAAATCGATTAAGAACTACTCAACGAATCCATTGCACCTATCCATTTGAGCTATAGTTGAGTGTGTGAAGAGTTATTCCTCCTCTCATTTTCGAGTTACTATTCATTGGAGAAGAAAAAGTGAGTTTTTGATGAAGTTTGGCTTGGAGATTGCTCTCTAGGCTTTGTACAAGTGTTTAGAGGTAAGAAACCTCTACTTCCATGATATTATTTTGATGAATTAAGTCATGAAATCTATGAGCATAAATGGGTAGGGAATAATTGATTTTAGAAATTGAAATTGATAATGGTTTGTTGTTGTTTAGGAAGTTATATGGTAAAGTAAGCATCAACATGTAATTAAAAAATTGAAAAGCCCATGGTACTTCCCTCCCTAGGTTTCGGCCATGATGGGTCACATAGGGTGCATGGTGCAAAATTTTATTTGATATATTTAGAGTGTCTAATGTGTTGGAGTGAGTAGGAATTTGGTAAATTAGTGTGAAGGCCAAAGGGGAAAAAATCCTTTGTGTCTTGATTCCCTATGTTTCGGCTATGGAGAGTGGTAAGGGACTTGATGTCCCAACATTAAGTTGGAACAATATGGAAACATACATTTGTATGTGTAAGTTACATGTAATTAAAAAGAAAAGAGCCCTTGCCTATTCCTTATAGAGTTCGACCTATAGGGTATTTAGGAATATATTTTGTACATTTTATTTTAAATAAAATGTGTTGTAATAAATTGTAAAAAAAAAATGATGAGTTTTGAAGAAAAATAGCATGAATTATGTTGAAAATTCCTAAGGGAATGGGTGATTAAATTAAAGAATCCAAACGAGTATAAGGTGGTCTAGACTTGTGTATTGGCATAGTATTGGCAAAAATATAAAGAAAGTAAAGTAAACAATAAAGTGTGTGCTTATGAAATAAGCATGGCATAATATCATTTTATTGATGCATTGGAAATTATTCTCTAGGTGTGCCTAGGGATTGAGAAGGATCGGAAATCTCTTGAAGCGATAAAAGTAACTTGTTCCACAAGTAAGCGTATTGGTAAAGCTTCAAGAGGTAAGCTCTATGTTTAAGGAGTCTTTTCCTGCTTGAGTGCTCCACCATGGTTAGTAAACAATGGTTGGACTGTATGACTGTGATTTAGATGCTTTGTATAGATGCATTCATATAGAGTTATTTGATAACATGATATGTTTTGCTCTGATATGACTTCTGTAACAATCTCTGGCCATTGATTGTATAGTACCCGGATGTCCGCTTTGGGGTCCTCCCTCGGGACTGATGGTGTACGCCTCTGATATGTCTGGTTCCGCTTTGGGGTCCTCCCTCGGGAACACGTGCGTTGATTTCCGCTTGGGGTCCTCCCTTGGGAATGACGGCGCACATCTCTGATATGATATGGATATATGCTCTGTTCTGTTATGATATCTGTTATATGTTGTATTTGTATACTCTGTATCTGACTTTCATGCAGGAGTGAGCCAGGGGTATGGAGAATTCTCTATAGACCTGGAGCTTACTGAGATTTGTAATCTCACCCCTCTTTGGGGACATATTTTCAGGTGCCCAGATTCCCGGTGAGTCCTCACTAGGCAGGGACACGACACGTGGCTGAGGCAGTTGACAGACCGGATT